AGACACCTTAATCTAAATCTGAATGGAAGCAGGTCGAAATTATGGGAAACAGTACCACAAATTTGCATTTAGGGTGACGGACAGGGTTTGTTTACTGGACCATAACTCACAGCTCATAAATCCAAATCAAGAAATTCCAAAGGCGTTGGAAAGCTATGTCATAATGCTAAAACCTTTATGTTCTAGATAAAACCTGAATCAATACAGAGCATGGGGAAAAATGGGTCCAAATTTCCTGTCAGAACTGTCCAAATTCACAGGCAGTTCTAACAACTGATCTTGGTTTAATCATAACTGAAGCTACGGAACTCGGATTTGGATGCACTTTATACTATTTTGAAGCTAAGACCAAGATCTACATTTCTTATGAAGGAATCAACACCTAGTTCGCACGTTATCAGGACGAACTGAGCATGGTCAGAGGCCAAATCAAGAAACGTCACCAAATCCACAGTTTTGCATAACTATTAGTGTTTTGGTCATAACTCAGGCTACACAGATCCGATTGACCTGAAATTTTGTAAACACAACAAGAACTTAAGAAGCTACAACTTTCATGTTTTGAGAAACTTCTGAATCAGCACACAACATAAAGAAAAATAGAGCTCAAGTTCGGATTTGTGGACTGCCCTGTTTCCAGTTTTGCCGGTTTCGTGCGCCGCAACCGCACAGTCCGTTTCTTTGGTTCTTATACAAGCTTTCTAGCCAAACTCATACCAAATAAACACACACATACCAGCTTCTAATTGCTCCACAAAAGACCCAAAATTCCTTTCCCAATTTAATCCCAAAACTTACCAAGCACTAACCATAATAAAGATTCTAATCTCCCCAACTCTAGCTACTTCAAAACTTAACCCATTAAACCCTAACAATCCAAGTTTTAACTAACCCAAACTAACTTCCCCTTAACCTAGGGTTTCATAACTAAACTGGATTTGGTTAGGATTCATCCATACAAGTGAAATTAACACATCAAGAATTCCATTTACAAGCCAATTACTCAACCAAACCAACTAAGGAAAGTATAAAGCAAGAAGCCCTAATTTTTCCATAATCTTAACCGAAATTTGGGCAGCAATAAATCACTGAAATTAACCATCAAATTACTCAATAATCACTACATAAACCACACAAGTTCACAATCATAACAAAACATCACTTTCATGACTTCAAAGTTTAATCACTAATTTTTAACTTCCAAGAGAGAGATGTTTTACCTTCAAGAAAGCTTTGTAGGTGAAGAATCTACCACAATCAAGTGCCAAAGTTGTTTTCTCCAACTCCAAGATCAAGATGGAAGCTAGAAGAAGAAGAACTTTGAAGAATTTTTTCTTTCTTTCTTGCTCTTGCTCTCGGCCCTCTATCTCTCTCTCTCTTTGGTTTTATTTTGTTTTGTTTCTTATGATTATCTTGCCCATCCTATGATATATAAGCTTGGTCAAAGCCTTGGAAGATATTTTCTACTTCCACCAATCACACAAAAATTGGAATTTGCTCCTTAACCCCTTACACCTTCACTTTGCATTTGATCAACTCTTGCCCTTAAACATTTGAAAAGCTTTCAATTTACTCCATAGGTCTTAAACTTAATCTAGTCAAAAACATGTAATCACACTTAATTATTTCACTAATCACTTTCCTATCTTAATCACCTATACTTACACATACTTTATCCCACATAAGAGCAATTAAACAACAACCTTTTTGTCAAAGGCAAAATTAGGGTTTTAACCCCAACTTAGGACTTCTAATCGATTATAACACTAGAGGTTTTGCTCATTTAGGATTTTTAACCTTTTTAAACTTACTTAACCTTGATAAAAGAAATCTATTCCTATACTTACCTGTACCAAAACACATACTAAAATACCAAACATGTAATACAACCCAAACTTATGAATAATACGAAACTAGGGTTTCAATCCTAACCCAAATTAGAGTTTTCTAATTAGCCCTAAAGCCTAATTTTACCGCACAAATCATGAATATCACCTAATATCAAATTTAGGAACTGACTAGGACAAAGAAAAAGGTAGAGAAACTCATTGAAGGAGACTATGCAGATCAATATAATAAGCTGTGGAACTACTGTAGAGAGGTCAAAAGGGCAAACCTCGGATCAAATGTGTTCATGACTGTAACTAAAGATGATGAGGGAGAGGATAGGTTTGAGAGATTATATATGTGTCTTTCAGCATGCAAGAAAGGTTTTCTAACTAGTTGTAGGCCTATTATTGGATTAGATGGTTGTCATTTAAGAGGTCCCCATAAAGGTGTTTTACTTGCAGCAGTGGGAATCGACCCAAATGATCAGTTATATCCTATTGCATTTGCTGTGGGTAAAGTTGAAAATAAGCTTACTTGGAAGTGGTTTGTAACTGAATTGGTGACTGACCTTGACATAAAGGATGAGGGTAAATGAACCTTTATGACTGATAAGCAGAAGGTGAACTACTAAGCTGATTTTTATATGGCTATATGTTTTGTCCATTTTTAATGCAAAGCTGTCTTTTAATATATCTGTTATGCTTTATTCTTGAAGGGGATGATCCAAGCTTTGCACGAGATTCTTCCAGATGTGGAGCATAGAATGTGTGTACGACACATGTACAACAATTTCAAGAAACAGCATAGTGGATTGGCACTAAAGGATAGAATTTGGTCGCTTGCAAGAGCACCCTACAAGAATTTATTTGTTGCATTGATGGAGGCTTTAAGGGAATTCAATGAAAGGGCCTTTAAATGGTTAGTTGATAATACAACACTTCAACATTGGATTAGAGCATACTTCCACATTTCTCCTAAGTGTGTCATCCTGTTAAACAACCTCTGTGAGAGTTTTAATTCTAGCATTTTAGAAGCACGAGAGAGGCCCATACTTGGCATGTTAGAAACTATTAGGCTATATTTAATGACTAGAATGGAGACCAAGAGGGAGTGGATGAGAAAGTATAGTGGAAGTGTGTGCCCAAAAATTTTAAAGAAACTTGAAAAAGTAAAAAATGCAGCAAGTAGTTGTATAGCTACACCCTCGGGTGACTGGTTTTATGAGGGAAGGTGCATGTATGGGGATAGATACTCTGTTAATTTGGCTAGTAGGACATGTAGTTGTAGGAGGTGGGAACTTAATGGCATTCCTTGCTCCCATGCAATGAGTGCTATTGCATTGACAAAGGAACCTCCAGAGAGTTTTGTGCATGAATGTTACTCCAAGGAGGCATATATGAGGGCGTATGAGCCTATCATATATCCTCTTAATGGTGAGCACTTATGGAAAGATCTGAAAAAGGGGCCTGTACTACCCCCCGAGCATATCAAGCTTCTAGGTAGGCCAAAGAAAGTTCGAAGGAGAGAGCCTGATGAGCCCCCAACTACAACAAGTAGTCGAGGGCAACTTAAAAAGCTGTCTAGAGCTAGGTTGATGGAGTATAAATGCTGAAAGTGCAAAAAATTAGGCCGCAACAGCAAAAAGTGTCCAGAAAATGCAGATGCAGCAAATGGCAATAGAAGAGCAGCAGCAAGTACACACCATGTCATTGTTAATCCACCTAAGCAGGAAGCTACACAACAAAGAGATGTTGCAAACACATATGAGGCAGCAAGTGGTCCACATATGGCAACATGTGGTCAACATGAGATAGCAAGTGGTCCAAGAAATGAAGAGCTTCAGCCACAACAACAAGAGAGTGTATACCAGCCTCAATTTTCTACTATTGGTACAGACGCAAGTACTTGTTTCAAAACTGAACCAATGGATGAAACAAGTGCCTGCTTGACTGATGAGGTTCTGCTTGATCTCATTAATCAAATACCTGGTCAACCAGCAAGTAGTCAGCCATCTAATCAACCACCCAGAGCCGAGATGGCCCCTGTCCAGTTCACACTCTCTCTCTTTGTACCAATTCAGTTTGTAGATTTATTGGGTTATTAACTAATGTTAGTTGCTTTTTCCTTACTTCTTGATCATGGTTAGGGTAAGAAAGTGAAGTACAGATGTGGGGTATGTCGAAAATTCGGACACACTCGAAGTAATTGTGACTCTACACTGGCTGTTCTTTATAGAGGGCCCCTTATGAACCACGTGGTTTGGCTGTAAGTTCTATTTGTTGCCTAACCATTAAACTTCACATTTTTTATTTTATCCAGTGGTCTTTTTCTCATTGTTGATTTTTTTTTTTTTATGTTCAGAGACATAAGAATGCAAAAGCTGCTACTACAACAAAGACCACTACTGCTGCAAAGAAGGCTTGAATGATTCTGCTAAAAGAAGCTACTGCTGCATAATCAGAGCTCTCATATCCTTTTGTGTAGTTCACTTTTTGGTTTTTGGAAACAATTAGTGTCTTTTAACTAGGATTGATCTCAGAAGACTTTGCTCAACTTTTGACTTGTATTTTATGAAAGACATGGACAAATGAGAAGTAATTGTTGGTGGGTAATTATGTGACCTGTTTTGCTGGTTCAGTTTTTGTTATTACAGCAATGGAATTGATCTCAGGAGACTATGTTCAACTTTTGACTTGTATTTTATGAAAGACATGGACAAATGGGAAGTCAATGTTGGGTAATTATGTGACCTGTTTTGCTAGTTCAGTTTTGTTGGGAATTACGTGACCTGTTCTATGAGCAATTTTTACTAAAGCAGGAATCAACATTACATTGTCTAAAGTGCTATTTTAGTTTGATTGGAGAATGTTTCAATTTAATTAGTCGATGCATTTGGACAACACATGCAACATTGCAAACTCTGAAGTATTTTGCAGATTGCTAAACAAAGCATTATATTCCAATGCTACTTTAACAATATATTCATAACCATACAACTAACAATTATCTAAATCCCTTGCATTATCTTTATAAATTACCTAATAGCTACTACGCCAGAGGCCCCTAATTCACAACCCAGACAAACATATGCAACCAGTGCCAAATTACTCTTTCCAAAGCCATTGATAGGCTACTACGCCAGAGGCCCCTAATTCACAACCCAGACAAACATATGCAACTAGAGCCAAATTACTCTTTCGAAAGCCATTGATAGATTACAGTAACAATGGCCATGAATTGCATCAGATTCATTCTGCGCTCTTTTTGTTTTCTTTTCTCCACATCAATCTCCAAATCTTTCACCTTCTTTGTTAACCTCCGTGTGTGCCTCACCAGTTTATCGCATCTCTCACAGCCGCTTGTTTCATGCCACTTGAAGTACCCACAGCCACCTCCGCCATTAGTATGCTGGTCATGGAGAACGGAGCTCAGATTCTCCAAAAAAGGAAAACAAAATATTCTGAAGCAAAGACTTACTTCACAATAGGCACATCCATAGAAATTCTTTCCTGGGTTCTCAGCTGTCCACGAAGTCTTCACTGTGGCTGGTATACCGCAGCTACAGTTTGGTGGTTCTCCCATGGCAACTTCAAAGAAATTTAGGGATTTGAAGTGCTTTGAAGGAAGAAAGATACTAATCCTCTACATTTTGGTCAAGATCTGAGTGACTTGCCCTTTTTGTCCCTCAAAAGTTGGTCACGTGATGTTCCCATGACTGGGTCCGTCAAGAATTCACACGGAAAAGCTAACAGGGACCAAAATTGATCTTTTTTGTTTGTAATAGACTAAAAATGCTGTTTTTCGTTGTCAAGAACTAAATTTTCACATCGTTAATATGTGAGAGATGATTTGTGCAATTTTTCCTTTTACTTATATACTAATTTGAATTAAGTTCGAATTGAATTTAAAGTTTATGACGTGTCCAAATTTGATTTGAATAATTTAATTTGAGTCGAGTATGAGTCGGATTTAAAATCTATCAAAGTGTTAAAATTTAATTTGATTAGTTCGCCAATCAATTTAATTTAATTAGTTGGCCAATCAAATTCAAACGGGTTTTTACTGAATCAATTTGGTTCATTTTTTCAAACCCATCGATCATAACAAAGTATTTAGTTGAATTTATCAGTTAAAAAAAAAAGCATCCAACAGTTGAAAATTGTCATCAAGTACTAACTAATGATCCAATGGGTCAAATTAGACAGCGCAAAATATTAAATACAGTCGGACCCGAAATTCAAACCAGAGATTTCACCAGAGGCAAATGGACACAGCCACGTGCCATAATTTTTGAGTGTAAAGTTTCAAGGTTGCTCAGCAGAAAGCCGCACCATAGGTGATTCAATAGCTCTTATAAGAGGCCCATTTTTACTCTTCCCTACAAACTCGAGAGATTTCTTATGATGAAGCATGCTCATCTTCTCTTCACTAAAGAATTGCTTTTTTTTTTTGGTAAGAAACTAAAGAATTGTTGTATGCAGAAAAGGCTGGAGTATAATGGCCCAGAGAATAGTTCCCGTCTCTTAACATATCTTTTTACAGTTTCATTCTTTCCAGAATTGATACTTGCACAAAAATAGATGCTAGCAAATAGCTGTTTGATCAGAAAATTGAACATGCATGTCTATCAACAGTCACTAATCAGCTATTACACTATCACTCAGGTTTGGTCTGATCAAACAAAAAGAGAAATTCTGCTGCAACAGCAAATAAAACCAAAACGATGCATAGAACATACAACTCCAGATCTTGTAAGATACGTTTCTAGCACAATAATAAACAAAAGCACAAGTTTTTCTATATCATATCGGTCCAATTGATAAGATACATTTCTAGCTTTACAAGGCACTTCTGTTCTGCAATCAAATAACACTGAAGGGGTAATTTTGGCTTCAACATATCAATCCCCATGGATAGTGTACCTTTCCCACTTCTTTGTTGGATCATATATCTACAAAAAGATGAACAAAGCATGAATTATTCAAAGCTCACAGTACAGCCAGGCATGAAATATGGAAACATTTCTAACATTTACCGCGCTGCCAAGATGAGTTAACCAGTACTGAACACCAAAATAAGTTGCAAGATACTTGTATTATAGAAGTATACCGCGACCTGCGCATGCGCGCTCCTAGACACACAAACACAACACACACATACAGAGAGAGAGAGAGAGAGAGAGAGAGAGAGAGAGAGAGAGAGAGAACCTCCCAACGTGAAGCAGGAAAAATGTGCTTATTCTTCTCATACCAGTGCCTTTCAACAACTTTCCCAGCATGTGACTGTTAGAAAAGTAGAAAATCAGTTTGGGACCAAATGACAAAAAGTATGCCAAATCACACGTAACAGAATGTCTAGTCAATAAACCAATGGTCCCAAGAAAAGAATTATGAAAGTATGTAACTGAAAAGGTACTTATTTCTGTCGAAGTATGTCATGAGCTTTAAAAGTTGATTTAAATTGATGGTTTAAACAAATATAGGTTTGGAATGGTAAGTGCACAGCTTTGTTTCTGGACAAAAAATAATTGAGAGGAATTGTCCAATAACTCCAGTATCCCCCAAAGATAATGTGCAAGATTGTTATAAATTGCCAGACAAACCTTCATGCAAAAATTGTAAATAGAAGACCACTTTGAAAATAAAGTACTTATTTCCTAGTCTATGAATCCTTACCTCATCCTTCTCTATTGTTGCGTCAGCTATTGTCCTCACATCCTCATGCACATCAAAGTGGAAAAGCTACAGATGTTTGACAAGCCAGAAAAGTTTCAATCAGAAACTAGCAGAAAGTAAATAACGTAGAGCAATAAATATTCCCCCTTAACATGCAAGCAAATTAATGAATGCAAGAAACTCAGAAAATGAAAAGAAATGAAAACAACCATGAGCCACATGTCCAAATATGACATCTTTTACAGAGATAAAGAGAGACAGTGATGATAAGAAAAGCTGTGCTACTTAAATGCACCATCATGACACTGGTATGGGCTTAACCTAATGAAGAAACCGAGTTTCCATAAAGGGGAATGCCTCTAAAGTTAAATAAATAAATAAATAAATAAACAAACAAGTAACAATCATTATTCTAAATTGCAAACCAATAATAAGTTTTAAACCAATTTCATCAAAACTTGGTAGAGACAGGAGGTACTTATTGTGCAACAATCAGAAAATATATCATAAAATGGTAAACTGAAAGATTTAGCAAATAACAAGTAAATATTATATGCCTGCCTGCTCTTTTAGTCTACTAAAGGTTATAGTGGATAATCACATTTACCAACAGACACACTTGGAACGCATTACAAACTCAAAGAAACAGAGTATTACCGGTCCACTCTTTCCCCTAGCTTTGTTAACAATCAGCTCATAGAAACTGTGTTGCTGAAAGGACGAACAGACGGATAATCAGAAAAATAGTTTTAACTCCGCTGAATATAACAGAAAACTCAAACATTGGTGACAGCTTCAATCATACATGAGGAATGATAAGATCTTCTTTCACATATAGCAGATTATCCACTGATGTTGTCCGGACCTCTCGAAACTCTGGTGCAAGTTGCTGTTGTACAGCTCGAAGGAACTCCCCTATTGAATCTCCTTTCCGAACCTGAAATAAATATCAAAGGAAAGGAATATAATTGAATGAAAATAAAGAAAACCTTTCATAAAAGGAAAAGGAAAGATATAGACATCTAGAGGAAAGCAGCAGAGACACATATGAAACACACCTATTTAATGATTATTAATTACCTGGATAACCCGTCTATGGCCTGTCCCATCCCAGTAGCTGTAAGTAATTTCAAGGGGTTCATCTGAAATTACAAAGGGAAAATTATTAGTCTGGATAATTTCATACGTGTGATTACTGTATGACATTAGAATCAAAGACTTACTTTTAATACGTTCTTGTTCAACAAGCCACTGCTTCCGTAGCCTTTCACGCTCAGCTTGCTCCTCTGCCTCTCTCTCACTGAAAGAGTGTGCTTCAATATCCAACGGACAAGCATAAGAAGGAAATCAAATAGTGAAGGGATGTTAAGCAGAGAAGTAGAGATGCCACACCTATCAGGCAAAAAACTAGTTTCAACAGTTGGATCCTTCCCGAATTTCCAACATCCAAGCCTTTCTGATTCTTTCCTTCCAACTGAGGAATAAAATAAACAAGTATGTCACTACGCAAATACAGCAAATACAAGACCTGCAAATACCCTAACACTGTAAATCAAGTCTTCAAAACCTAGAACATGAAAAAAGTCCCCACCAGCCACCATTCTCACCCAAAAAAAAATTGAAAAATAACTCAGGCGGTATCCCTGATCCTTGAGTAACTATGAAACTTGAAGTGGCCCGTGACCCATAGATTTTGTAAACAACTACAAGTTCTTGAAAAGTCACATCCACAGGAGCCTTTAGTAGCAATTGCTTGATCCAATGTGCAAAAGCTAACAAAAGAAAGGATGAAATTTAACTTGTATGACAAGCCAAAAAAAGTGCTTCATCAAGGTTAAGCACCACTATGAGAATTATTTCTGCTCTCATAGCCCTACTATACATTTCAAGGCCAGACGAATCCCCACTCATGGAATCTTCTCCACTTATTACGAGTTCCAAATTCCAATTCTATGGGATACTGCTATCTTTAGAAATGTTGAACATAGGGTGCAAGTGGACGGAGCACAAGCAATTAAAGAGGGTGATATATGGTAAAGTATGACCAAAATGCAAAAGAGTACCTCTGCACAACTCAATTTGTATCTGCAAGAATGGCTAGATGTGCTTAAATAAGATATATATTGCTTAAATACTGCTATTTCTAGGTAAATAATTCTAAAAAGCATCAAATCTTTGTCAGTCTGGCAAATGATGAAGCAAGTTAAACAGTTGTTTAAGGTTAAAGCTCTGGGTAATGGACTCTGGAATTGGCACATGGCCAGTGATTCTTCCCATAAGCTGTATGGAGACTCTGCATCTTACTTATAGTGTTATCCAATTACAATGTAAGTTTTTGACAGCATAGCAGTAAGTAATCACTTCCCAAGGCATAATTAGTAATCAATTCCCAAGGCATTTGTGTGCTGCAAAATAGCAAAAAGAAAAAGATTTCCACTCAATAAGTCTTCTAAGACCACCGTTCAGTAAGCCTAAAATATCCCCTCCCAAAACAATCAACAGAAAACAGAGAAGGGTCGATAAGACCTAAATGATCTACACCCTTACAAGCCAAAAGTCACTAAACCTACCAAATCCACTAAGTATGACCTAATCTTCACTCACAACAACAAACATTAGTTTGGTTCATATGTTAACAATCTACAGTTCAGCAGAGACAGCGCCAGAATTGGAATATTTTGCCCCAAAAACCAGAGATGCCTCTGTCTAGTGAATCCCACCTTGTACTGCTAAAAGGTATCAACCCTTAAAGTGCAACTGCTGAATAAATCATATAAAAAACAGGTTTCAAGCAATCAAATAAGCCTACCGTTTTCTACATCTTCATCTGTGTTGGAATTCTCAATATCATCACAAAAGGATAACCGAGGGTCCACCTTCACTTTTCTCTTCTTAAGCTTCTGTAGCTGAAGTTCCTCCTCCCTAAAATACAAGGAAAGAACACAACACGTTCAGTATAACTTGTATAATAAGGTGCTTTAATTTCAAAATATTCTCATTCTGTGAAAATGAAACACAGTTATAAATGAATTTCACCCACTCTTGTTGCAACTTCTGAAGCTTCTCTTTTTCTTCCTCTTCAATCTTACTCCTAATATTAACCCTCTGCATGAATACAAACACAATTTTACAACATGAAATTGTTCAAGACTGGAAAAAAACTAACACTTGATATCCAGGTCATATTTACCTTCTCAACATATTCTTCCCTACTCACCAACCCAACAGTTTCCTTCTTAAATGCTGTCTCGAGTATCTATACAGCAAAAACATATATTTTCATTAAAGGTTAAGTATATTTTTCTGCACAAAAAAAAAAGAGTCTAAAAGTTGAACCATGGATTTGTTCATAAAATTGGGCCAACCTCAGAGGTGCTGGAGCCAAATTGGAGGAGGCCAGGTTGGCCTTTAGAGGAAGCACTCTTGTTCTTCAGCTCTTGAATCTTTCGCCTCTCCGCTTCTCTTTGCTTCTCAAGCCTTCGGATTCTCACAGCATCTTGGGCAGTGCCCACATACCCATCTCCCATACCCGACATTTTCTTCTGTCTTCCCAAACTCCTTTATCAAGATTCAATCTGCCCTTCGATTACTGCCCTGCAAATGTTCTGCAAAAACTGACCAACTCAAAGGTCTGCATTTGCACATCGTAATTAATCCAAAAAAAAGGAAGATCCCTTTCATAATCGAATTAGTCATTTAACCCTAATAAATTAAATACAACAACCAGAAATTGCTATAATCAACATTTAAACTGTTATCTAATGCATGTGCCGAGGTCGATTTCTCAACAAAAATAACGTTTCCTAATGCAACTAGCTATCTTTTTTTGTTACTGCATAAATATGGTAGAAAGAAATTACGGTTTTGAAACATACTATCAAACTAAACCTAGAAGTTATAATGAAAAATCCCAATCAGATAATCTCGTAAAATCTTCAAATCTTCAGCAAAATCTGTGAGCTGGTAAATAACCGAAAGGCAACTAAGTTACCTTGCTATTAAAAACCCTAAATTTGCAGTGTCTGAATAGAAGAGAAGAGGCTTGATTTTCTGGTGAAAGAAGGAAAATCCAAATCTTCAGAGACTGAAAAATACCAATAAAGCAAACCCTAGAACGTTAAAAATGAAAAATTCCAACCAGAAAATCTCAAAATCTGTGAATTGATAAACAACCAAAAGGGAACTAGGGGAAGTTACCTCTTGTTAGCTAATTTGCAATGTCTGGAAGAGGTTGATTTTTTGTGAAGGAAAGAACATAGTGGGATAGGACTTACTTTGTGATCCGATTTGTTATTTGACCCGGTTGGGATCCGAGCTGTTGGAGAGTGCAATTGGATTTGGAACTTTTAGGCCCAGCCCAAGACTTCACCCATCATTCTGGTCCATTTAGAATTGTAATTCATTTTTTGAATTATTGACCAAACATACAATTGTAGAGGCTAATTCCTTTGTTTACATAATCTACATAAGTAATAAAAGAGTGAAGAATTCCGATGTTCCGCGCGTGATTTCGTCGTCCTCATATGACCCTTTCCTCCTTTGTTTAGCATATTGCACGGGTTCCTCTTCCTTTTCTTTTTTCTAACCCTAAGTCAGAGCCACCTCTCATGTCCCATCACTCTTCTTCAAACTTCCTCTTCTTTCCCTCTCCTTTTCTCTCACTTTCCCTATACCTATCCCTCTATTGCTCCAGTTCCTCCTCCCCTTACTCTATCAAAAGTTTTTAAAAACCTTTCTATATGTCTCAACTTTTTCCCCTTCTTTTCTATCTTCTCCTTTTATCTACATAAGTAATAAAAGAGCGAAGAGTTTTGTCGTTTCATGCATGATTTCGTCGTTCTCACGCGACCCCTTCCTCCTTTGTTTAGCGCATTGCACAGGTTCCTCTTCCTTTTCTTTTTTCTAACCCTAAGTCAGAGCCATCCCTCATCTCCTCTTCATTTTTTTTTTCTAAACCTTAGTCAGAGCAGCCTCTCATCTCCCACCACTCTTCCTCAAATTTCCTCTTCCTTCTCTCTCCCTATCCCTCTACTGCTCCCTTTCCTCCTCCCCTTACTCTATCAAAAGATTTTAAAAACCTTTCTATCTGTCTCATTTTTTTCCCCTTCTTTTCAGTCTTCTCCTTTTAATAAAGTAAAACCCATAAAGCAAACAAATTTCAGCTAGTTCCTTTGGAAATAATCATATCTCAAATTTTGTAGGAATCTTTCAAGATTATGAAAGCAGTTGAAACTACTAAAGGCTACTATTAGGCTACAAGTTCATTTTCTTTTCTCTTTTTTTTTTCTTAATTTTGTGGTTGTTTTTGGCTGTTTGGTTTGTTAATAGCCAGCTGTGTATCCTTTAGTTCTTTATTTTGTTTCTTTTTCCCCTTATCTGAGGATTATAATTTTTTTTTGTATTTTTTTCCTTTTCTACATAAGTAATACAAGAGCAAAGAGTTTCGTTGTTCCGCGCATGACTTCATTGTCCTCACGTGACCCCTTCCTCCTTTGTTTAGCACATTGCGCGGGTTTCTCTTCCTTTTCTTTTTTCTAACCCTAAGTCAGAACCGCCTCTCATCTCCTCATTCTTTTATTTGTTCTAACCCTAAGTCAGAGCTGCCTCTCATCTCCCGCCGCTCTTCCTCAAACTTCCTCTTCCTTGCCTCCCCTTTCCTCTCCCTATCCCTCTACTGCTCCCATTCCTCCTCCTCTTACTATATCAGAAGATTTTAAAAACCTTTCTATCTGTCTCATCTTTTTCCCCTTCTTTTCAGTCTTCTCCTTTTAGTAATGTAAAACCTATAAAGCAAACAATTTTCAGCTATTTCCTTTGGAAATAATCATATCTCAAATTTTGCAGGAATCCTTCAAAGTTATGAGAGCAGTTGAAACTACTGAAAGCTGCTATTAGGCTACAAGTTAATTTCTTTTCTCTTTTTGTTTTCCTAATTTTGTGGCCATTTGGTTTGTTAATAGCCATCTGTGTATCGTTTAATTCTTTATTTTGTTTCTTTTTCCCCTTACCTAAGGATTATAATTTTTTTGTATTTCTTTCCTTTTACTCCATCTTTTAATTTCTCGTGTCTGATAGGATTTTCGTCATGGTCCTCGTCTTCTTTACAGCTCCAGTATTTTTATGTCTTCGTTAATAGGTGTAAATAGTAAGTTCTTGTTTACCTTTTTCCACTGTTTGTTCTTTTTTAATTACGAAAGTCTAAGTTATAGTTTTGTTTGTTTATTGATTAATATCCTAGATAAAGAAGGGTCCGGTCAAAATATTGACATTAGTCTATGCAAAAGCAATTGCATGTGTTCTACTTTTAATAACACATGCTCATTAAATATTCACTGATTGGAATTTAGTTGCAACTTTTCTCGTGTAAATTTTTATTTTCGGATGAGATTTCTTTATGTGACTAAAATGAATAAACTACAAACTTAAAGTAGTCACAATACAAAATTTTCTTGTGTAAAGTTTAGATTAACTTGTTTCTTTTCCTTGTCCTTTTTTTTTTTATTTTAGTTGGAATTGCTAGATCCATAGGATTGTTTGTTGTTAGGGAAATGATGTTTTAATTGTTCAAATGAATTTCTAAAGCAGATAAGAGCTGGGCCTTGATCATCGATAGCTGACAATTTCTATTACTACTACTAGTGACTTGTAACAGACTCATGGTTTCTTTATGTAACGCGGTCAATTATCTACTGGTAAGATGATATTGCAAGGGAAATTGTTATAGCAGAAAAGGCTTATGCAAGTCTTTTAGAAACATTTTGATAATGTTATGGAGGGATTACAGTCCAATTCTGTATCTGCAACGTGTTTTAAAGAATTGCGAGGTCAACAATAAAATATCTGCTTGTGGTATTATGAAATTCAATCTTCTTACCTTTTTGTGCTTAATGTATTACCTATTAAAGGTGTAAATAAGTTGTGTTTTTCCAAAAATGACATAATTCTTTTGCAATTACAGATTTGTTAACATTGATAGTGTGGATTGGTAGCGAAACATCAGGGACAGAATAATTCTTAATCTTATCCTGTTAATGGAAACTCCTTTGTCTTCAACATCTTAGGTTATAAAAACTATTCTGGAATAAAAACTATTGGTATTGTCATATTTGCACATGAATTTGATCACTGCAAAAACAAATTGTAATATTAGTTTATGTAGAAGATTTAGTTTGTTTGTTGCTTCTTAATAGGCACCCTAGAGTTCTTATGCTCATGATATTATATCTCTTACTGTAAATACAAGAAATTTGTCTCTAGAGGAACTGATCAATAACTTTGTTGAAGATAAGAACTATATCAGAGCAGACTGATAGAGAAGATTAGTTCTGCATGCAACAGGATTATTTATGAGAACCGCCCAGGCAAATCTTTGATCCGTTCTCTTTGCTAGGAGCAAATGGAGGCAGCACTTTTCATGGATGAAAAGGAGAGCTCTTTGGTGATGTGGTAGACTAAATGGTGCAAGAATTAGTATTGAGGAAAGCTAAATGGTTATCTGCAACAGGGTCACCTTAGTCAAGCATATGTCCATTACACAGAAGGCCAATATCTACTGCCTAATGACAATCATCAAATTTGCAAATCATTTTGTACTTTAAATTATTATAGTCTTTAAAATAATATATGTGTTGCATACTCCATTTTCCACTTTCAACAATTAAGTTAAATAAACTTATAATTCAACTTTCTATTACATTTATTTGGGCATGCTAAGCACCATTTCCACCGCATGTTGCGCGGTTTATTCCTTCTAGTTGCTGAAAAAAATCGCACCAACGTTGATCTGACAGGAGATATTCCACAAATATGCTGGTCATGCTCATTATGCATGACATGATAGGAATTTTTTTAAAAAAATGTTAGACTACCAATTGAATTTTTTTTTAAAATACAAAAAATTGAAGGTTGCCGGTCTGTCAGCCTGATAACTTGTTGGGTATTTTTTTTTTTAAATTGAAAACTGCCGAGTTTAGTCAGTTCAGTAGCCTGTTTGCTAAATAAGCACGACAGGTCCCATTTTTTATTTTATTTTCAGGCTTAAGAAATTTTTTTGGATGAAAAAAAAAACCACATCTCCTTCAATTTACAAGAAGGTGCATTCCCAAATAAAAAATTATTAATGCTTAAGGCACACTCGATGCATGTGCAACAATAAATAAATATATAAAGATTTTTTTAAAGATATTTGTTAAAATTATTTTTCATGAGATTTAGTTTTATATTTTTATAAAACGTACAGAAAATTGATATTTGCATAAATAAAATGTACAAATAGACTATTATTTGGTAGTGGATAGTTATAAAAAAGAGGTAGAAATACATATAATAGTGGTTACTTATACTTAAAAAGTAATTTAGGAAGATCCACTTTTTATTTAAACCAAAAGGCTCAATAGAGATAAGGGTTATTGGATAATAAAGATGGATAATAGAAATAAGAGTAAATCTGAAAACACACAAATTTAACACCAAATTAGCACTAAGTTAACTATCTATAAAGGCTTTATTATTATAAAGCTATGAGTTATATAATTAAAATTATTTCATGAGCTATATAATTAAAATCACTCATCTAATCAGTTATATTGTTGTAATTTGAAATATATACATATTGTGCACTAAAAAACTAAAAAGCAAAAAATAGAAAAGAAGGAAAATTTGATAATGTCAAATGGTGAAATTTAAAAATAACGCTAACTACCATTCAAATGATGAAATTTTAAAATAATGTTAACTACCACATTCAAATGATGAAATTTAAAAACATGTACAAGCAATTATAATATCAACATCTAGTACGTCTCTTGCCCTTACCCTTATCACCTGGTGTTGTGAACAGACAGGAATATCTATTAAATTGCCATCTGTGATGTTCACGAAAAACTCTAGACTGGTACAAAACATCAATAGGGGACGCATCATCCTTGAAAGCACTATTAGGTCCTATATCGTCCTCACCGGTCGATTCTGCAGTCGTGTTGTTATCATAATCATTTTTGAAATGATAGGTATAAAAATCTTCTGGCCGACCATGTTTGGAAGTAGATACGGGTTAAAAATAGGTATGACCATAAATTATCCAAAACTATAATAGTTGAAAAGATTTAGAATAGGAGATGAACCACTCATTCCACTAAGAAAACTGAATATTAGGTGCAGTTCAGCACACGAAAATGAGGCCGATATAGTGGTAGTATATCCAAACTGAGGTACATGTGGTAATGATGGGAATTCTCCTCCAAATACAAGAATCTATGGAGAAGGCGTAGGTTATGCACCA